TAGTTGTCTGCCACTATATCCATTTTTTTTATTTTTATTGCATTCCCACGATTAAACTCAGGTGTTCATGCTTACGTGATAATCACTTTTTCCTACTGATCTCTCATCCCGGCCCCTTTAAAGCTACAATTTTTTAAACTAAAAAACGAGCAATTAATAAATCAGGACCAATTAGTGTTTATCCTGCAAACACAAATGTCATTGGATTTTAGGCAAGTGCACTAATGACACACTAGCTCCCCAGCTCTTTCTATTCTATTTTAATTATTTTTTTGTACATCTTTTGGCATCGCCCCCATAAAAATATCTGCCATTAAACATGCTCCACCTCAAATAGGAACTTAATTAGAGTCAACCTGCGACCAAATTGCTATGGTGGATACTCGGGTCCAGAAGTTAGGAGGGAAGAAAATAAAACTACATTCTAATTTCTTAAAAGCAGATTGGCTCAAAGGGACTCATTAAGAGAACAGTCAATCCATCTCTAGAACTTGGCAGCCCACAAACTTCCTGTCCCAGCCCTAGTAATAAAATACTTAAAGACACACATTTCACCCTCCAACTGGGCATTTTTTTCCAGCTTTACTCTTTTCACATTTAGTCCTTATTTTCATATAGTTAGCAGTACATTTTTTTCCAGCAAAAAAAAAAAAAAAAAAAAAAAAAGTTGAACTTTTTAAGGATGTCTGTGCCTTAAAAAAAAAAAAAAATGAATGTAGTTACTTGCACAATATATAGCCAACAACATAGGCCAACAATCCCACTGATTGGACTCTGGGGAAGAAGAAGAAAAGAAGAGGACAGGAAGGGAGGAGGGTGGCATGTTAGAGGCTATCTGGGAGGAATGGGAGGGAGAAGGTGGCATGCATATGTTCAAGATGTATTGTTTGTATTGTGACATTGTCAAAGAATAAATAAGATATTCTCTTAAAGTAATAATAAAATGAATAAGGAGCTAGAGAGATAACCAGGTGGCTAAGAGCATTCAATGCTCTTGCAGAAGACCTGGAGATCGGTTTCTAGCATCCACGGGGTGGCTCACACCCACCTGGCACTCCACCTCTAGTGGACTGGACAACCCTCTTTTGACCTCCATGGGCATCAACACACACAGACACATAAATTTTTAAAAAAGGAAATAAGCACTTAAAAGTAAATCAATGTAGGGAGAGCAATGCAGGAAGATTGCAAGTTCTAGAACAGCCTGAGCTACAGAGTGAGTTCTGAGATAGCCCGAGGTTCAGAGGAAGACTCTCTCCAAAAGTACCAAAACCCCAAATCAAATCAAAAGCGTTGTTAGTTACCTGGTTGGTCTCTGTGAACTAACTGTTTAAGCAAGTCTCTGGCTCAATAAACTGGTAGAAACCCTCTAAATATTTGTGCTGATATCCTGCCAGCAGAATTCATATGATTGTGACAAACTGGGACAAGTCCAGAAGCTCTTACACAGCAGATGGAGCAAATGCCTGAGTGTGCCTTCCCGAGCTCCCTGAAGAGTTTCCCACACAGGGTCCTGTGGGGCTCCAACCCTGATGCAATCAGACAGGATCTTCAATATCATGCAAATGCTCTGGGATCTAGCAAGTAATGCAGCCTTATGTGTGATCTTGGTTGTCAACTTCATAGGATCTAGAATCATCTAGGAGACACACTGCTAAGTGTGCCTAAGAAGGAGTGTGTAGATTCTGCTAGCCAAGGCAGGAAGACATATCCTAAATGTAGGTGGCACCATCCCCTAGGCTGGGATCCCGGAATGAAAGAAAAGGAGGAGGCAATCTGAGCACCAGCATCCATCTCTCTCTGCTTCTTGATTGTGAGTGCCGTGTGCTTCTTTCCACCACACCTCCCCCGACAGGGTAGGACTGTGAGCCAAAGTCAAAATAAATTCTTCACTCCTTCAGTTTCTTTTCTCAGGTATTCAGTCACATCAATAAGTCACACACACACACACACACACACACACACACACACACACACCTTTCCTTTCCAAATTATGACTTCTACCATCCTAAGGCAAAGACCTTGTCTCTAGACAAAATTTAAAAACCAATAAAACTAGCTTAGTTTCATAAACAGAGGTTCTGGTTAAAATGTTTACCAAGTCAGAGAATGTTGGTGTAACCCTATGATCCTAACACTTAAGAGGCTGAAGCAGCAGAATTGCCCTGAGTTCAAGATTAACTGGTGCTCATAGCAAGACTCTGTCAAAAAAAAGAACCCAACCAAAGTATTATTTAAAGATTTTAATTATGTGTATGTGTGTGTCTGTATGGAGATGTGCACATGAGTGACAGGTGGTTGTGGGCTGCTCAGTGTGGGTGTTGGGAACCAAACTCAGGTCCTCGGCAGGAGCAGCAAGCATTCTTAACTACTGAGCCATCTTTCTAGCCCCAAGAATTTTTAGACTAAAAAAAGCAACACCTTCTTAGATCTACAAACAGTGACATCCATTCACTTTTTATTAAGGCAGGTTCAATTGTTCTGTCACCTGTAATCCCATGACTTCAGAGGCTGGGGCATAAGGGATCACCATGAACTTAAAGCCAGGCAGGGATACAACATTATACGATGCAGTGTCCAGAACACGAGCGCGCGTGCGCATGTGCGCACGCGCACGCACACGCACACGCACACACACACACACACACACACACACACACACACACACACACACAGTATCCCTCTGAAAAAAGGATGGGAGCAAATAGAAGAGAGGTCTGGCCGCAGGCTTTTTGACCCAGCATTTCAGAACTGCCTCTGCAGTAGAAGGCACCATCGCATCAGGCACGCAGTGAGTCACCATCCATTAGAGACTGTTTAGACAATGTATGCCCCCAATACAGCAGCTCTGTGATGAACTAAAAAACTGTCACCATCCACAGCTGTCCTTCATTCACCGTATGGTCTCCATTGTCCCTCCCCTCCCATGCAGGGGAACAGGAAGTGGCGTACACCAAGCAAGTAGTCCCCTACCGGATTGTTCTGACTTCTTTTATGCCATTGTGATTAAAAACACAAACCAATTACTCCGATCAAAAGCAGTTTAGGGAAGGAAATGGTTTGCTTCATCTTATACTATCAGGTCACAGTCTGTCACCGAGGGAAGTCGGGGAGGGAACTCAATGCAGGGACGTGAAGGCAGGTACATTCGTAACTTGCCTTTTGCTGGGATGAGACACTGTGAACAAAAGCGACCTTTGAAAGGGTTTGTCTGGGCTTTTGGTTCAAAGGGATAAGAGCCCATCATAGTGGGAAGACATGGCAGCTGATAGGCATAGCAGAAGAGCAGGAAGCTGATGGATCATCTCTTGAACCACAAACAGGAAGCAGAATGAACTGGAAATAGGGCGAGGGTATAAACTTTCAAAGCAGATCCCCAGGGATGTACTTCTTCCAGAAAGGCTCCACCTCCTAAAGACTCTATAACCTCCCCAAACAGCGCCACCTGCTGGGAACCAGGTGTTCAAATACATGAGCCTTTGGGGATCATTTCTCAATCAAAGCACACAACTGGACAGCTTGCTATTCCACAAAGCAAACTGTGACTATGCACTCACCTTTCCTCAACCTCCAAACTGCTGGGATGACAGACCTATACCAGCTATCTTTTTTATCTGGCTTGTGGTGCTGTTCTGTTGCTATTCCCTCCTATCTAACACACTCCTTTCTGGAGGGAAGCTCTTAAGACTCAGGAAGTAAACAAAACTTACAAGTCTCAGGAAGTTCCTGAAACCCAACAAGATTTACAAGGCACCTCCACAACATTATACCAGCAGTAGTAACTGCTGGAGAAAGGGGGAATCTCCTACCAGCTTTGCTGCCTGTAAGTTGTGGTGAGAACTAAGCTCCAAGGGTGGAGCAGTGTTTGGAGGACTGGGAGGACACCTCTGTCCTTAACTTGCCTTGAAAACATGAGAACCAGAGTACAGATCACTAGAAAGAAAGTTTAAAAAAAAATAAAGACAGAGGCATAGAGGCACATCTTTGGAATCCCAGCACTGGAGGAGTGGAGACAAGAGGGTCTCATGGGGAATGGTTGCCAGTTGTGAATCCTGAGTCAAAAGTGAAGGTGGGTGATGCCTCAAGAATGAGTCAAGATTGACCTCTCACCTCTACACATACATGCTCAAATGTGCTCACATTCTCACATGTGCAAATCCACATAGACATGTGTGCAAACACACACAAGCTGCTTTTAAAATGGAGGTAGGGGACAGAGAGGTGTGTCAGTTGTTAAGTGCTTGCCATGCAAGCATGAGCATTAGTTTGAATCCCCAGGACCCACATAAGATATGCATGGATGCTGTGACCTATAATTCTAGGTGCAAAAGGTGAAGATGGGAATCCCACAGCATGTAGCTCACTAGACTAGGTATATCAGGAGCTCTGTGTTTGATTGACAGGTCTTACCTCAGTGAACAAGATAGAAGAGCAATCAAAGATGATTCCAAATATCATCCTGAAAGCCTCCACACACGTGCACACAAACATACACATACGTGCACGCCACACGCATGAAAACAGAAAGGTAAGGTTTATATCCTGTGAGTGTGTGTGTGTGTGTGTGTGTGTGTGTGTGTGTACATTAGTGTATCTTCGGACAGAGGCTGGAGACATCAATCAGATCCTCCTGGTGCAGGGGTGATAGATGTTGGTGAGCCATCCATCATGGGTGCTGGACACAGAATCAGTGGAAGAGCATGTGTTCTTAATCGCTGAGCTCTCCACACTCAAAAAAAAAAAAAAAAAAAAAAAGGAAAATAAATAAAATAAAATGGGAGGAAAAGGAAAGGGGAGTCTAATTGCTCCATCAACCAAATCAGCTTCATCTATCTATTCCTTTAACTGTCCCCAAACCATCCCTGCTCACATGGCCCCCATTGTGCAAACCCAGATCAAGTTCAAGTTTCTCCTCCTAACGCTGGGTCTCAAGCTGTATATGTCCCAAGGCCAGGGAATGAGGCAGGAGGCACGGCTTGGCAGTACTAAGCAGGTCTCACCGTCCATGTCCAGACGCTGCATGATGATAGCCAGCTCCACTTCACTGGGCATGTACCCCAAAGAGCGCATGGCCATACCCAGCTCCTGCTTGGAGATGAAGCCATTCCCATCTCTGTCTAGAACACGAAAGGCTTCTCGGATTTCTGCAAGAAAAAAAGCACAGAAAGTCCATCAGTCACGTGGCTGCTTCATTGCACTCAAACCATGGGTGACTAACAGGTAGCATCTCGTTGTACCAGTAGGAGGCTGGCTGCTTTTCTTGTTGCTGTGACTAGACACAGGAGAGAAACAATTTAAGAAAGAGTGGAGCAGTGAGGTGATGGGGGATGTCCTGGATGTCCTTCTGTATATATGTTTCTCTTATTAGTTGATGAGTAAAACACTGATTGGCCAGGCATCCCTGTGTTTATTTGGGGCAAAGGGCTAGGTGGGACCAGGCTGGAAAGATGCTCCAGCAACAGTGAGGCTCAGCTGATAGAGTGCCAGCCTGACGTACATGGAGCCACAGGGCTCCATCCCCAGCCCTGCATACACTCGACATAGTGATGCCCAGTAGTAATCCCAGCCCTAGGAAGGTAGAGACAGGAGGATCAGATGGTCAGGATATCTCATGCTACATAGCAAGGTAGAGGACAGACTGAGCTGTGTGTGGTGCTGCCTCAAAATAATAAATATACAAATAGATAAGGTGGAGAAATGACTAAGGAAGATCCCCCAAAGTCAAACTCTGACCTGTAAATGTGTGCATCCCTCCACATGAACACACACACACACACACACACACACACACACACACAATTATAAAGTGAAACATAAAAAGAAGGAGGTGGGGGGAGAGCCAGGAAATGAAAGAAGGGATCGAGGAATGGGAGAGAAAAGGAGAAGCAAGAGGCAAATGGCCCTAAATATCTGTACATACTGCAGTAGGCACTCAGGCAGGGATCCCGGCAGAAAATTGCCTTGATGAAGGGCGAGGCTGTGTGAGCCTTGCAGAAATGACAGGGTCGGGGGAAAGTGTGTGAATCCCCCTGCTGCTGCTGGCAGCATGCAGTGTTTAATAACCTCGGAGGACAGGAGGTGAGACTCCCACTGTTTCTATTTCATCCCTCTAATCTGCAGTTGTTTTATGACTATAAACAGCCACAGCTCAATACGAACGTCATGGAGGTTCGGAGGAACTTTAATCACTTTCTCCCTGGTCTGGAAAAGAACTTGGCTCTGCTATCATTAAGGCTCATTGTGCATGGCAGGAAGTCTCTTTACTCTGGGTTATACCTATACCTTCCCCCAGAGCTCCTAAAGCTGGTAGTCCTAGATTGAGTGAACATTTCCTATCATGTCCCCACCCCCCTCCACCTTTGCAAGGCATGAGGAATTTGAGATCAGAAGTTTAAAGACAAGAGGTCCATCTTGTGTATCAAAAGAACACTGGATCTGCAGCAGCTTGGAGTTGCTCCAATAAATGCAGCATTGGGAGGCTGCAGAGTAGGCTCAATGGTAAGAAGAGCACCCGGGGCCATAAAACTTGTATTCCTCTTAACTTAACCTTCAGCTTCCCTCCAAATACAGAACTCAATTATTCATTAAGGCAGCATGATACTCTATTGCATACATGTACTACATTTCCTTTATCGTGTGTAGAAGTACACAGAGACTGGGTCAGGATTCAAACTACTGTGACTAGTGCAACAATAATCACAAGTGTGCAGGTTTAACTGTGGTGCACAGACTTAGATTTTCATTCCCTTGGGCAAGTACTCAGGAGTAATAATGCTAGATCATAAGGTAAGTCATGAATCTGTGGGGTGGGAGGAATATGTGCTCGTGAGTGCAGGTGCCACGCGAGGCCAGAGGGAGCACCTGATCACCGTGAGCTGGAATGACGGGCAGCAGTGAGCTACCTAATGTGGGCACAGGCAATCAAAGTTAGGTCTTCCGGAAGAACCATATGTGTTCTTAACCACCGGGCCATCTCCCCAGCTGTTGTCTTTCATTTGCAGAGGGCCTTCCATGTGGGTTTCCACAGTGTCTGCAACGGTTTATATTTCCACCAACCCCCTCCTTCTTATCTGAACCTTTGCATTGGATTTGGGGACCACCCAGATCACCCAAGACAATCTCACATTTCAAGAGCCTTAACTCGATCACATGCAAGAATTCTTTCCAAGGAAGCACTTGGAATTCCAGGGGATTAGACTCTGGCATCCCCAGGGCTGTTTCCCGGGTGATTATGCACTTCCATCCTGAGATTCTTCGGCAAACAACTTCCTTCCTCTCCAAAGACACAATCATCCTTTGATGCCACTTCTAATTTCATTTCTGTTGCTGTCACAAAGCACCCTGACCAAAAACAGCATAAGGGAGGAAAGGGTTTGTTTGGGGTCACTGTTCCAGGTCAAAGTCCACCATTGCGGTGAACAGAGCCAGTGTCCAGCAGCTGGCCAGATCCAAAGTCAAGAGCAAAGGGAAACATTCCATTGTATAGAAGTTGTGGCTGTATAAGGTTGAGAGTTAAAACCAGGCAGCTTACACAGATTCCAGAGGAAAAAAAAAGTCTTTGCTCACCACAGCTATGCCCGACTCTCAATCTGCTCACTATTCAGAAAGCCATTCACCGCTTTCACATGACATCCACCATGACCCAGCCCTGTGTGGGGGCAAAAATAGGAGAAGCGCTGAGTCTTGCCAGACACCAGCCTAGCTGCAAGTGCGGTGAGAGACCCTGTCTCTCTGGCCTCCGAGCTTATACATAGGCATGCACACCAATGTGTATGCAATGTGTGCGATCACACACACACACACACACACACAGTAAAGAAAGAAAAGAAATTTTGTCTTCTCTCAACTGTCTCATCACAGACTTTTCATCTCCATGTTTTCCCTGATCATACCATAGGGGGCGCTAGAGAGAGCGAGAGCTAGCAGACTAATTACTGCAAATGCATCAGCCTCAATAGATTAAGGATTATAGGACTGGAAAGCTAGAAAGAGGGCTCAGTGGTTACGAGCACTAGTTATTCCTGTGGAGGACCTAGGTTCAAGTCCCAGAATCCACATAGCAGCTCACAACTGTTTGTAATTCCAGTTCCAGGGGATTTGATACTTTCTTTTGATCTCTGTGGGCACCAGGCATACAAGTGGTGCACAGAAACACAGGCAAGCAAAACACTATACGCACTAAATAGGATTACATTAAAAAATAAGAGAGAATTATGTATGGGGCTGGAAAGATAGTTCCAGGGTTAAGAGTGCTTGCTGTTCTTACAGGAGACCCAAGTTCAACTTCCAGTACCGATGTTGGATGATTAACAACCACCTATAAATCTAGCTCCAGGATATCCAATGTCTTTCCCTGGCCTCCAAGGGCACCTGTACTCATAGACATACATACATACATATATACATATATACATACATATCATGTATTCCTAGTAATTTTGAATCTTTTGTTAATAATAGCTCATCATGTGGAATGCTTTTTGCAAACACACGTGGGTCCAGCAGAGAAAGAGAGAGAGAGAGAGACAGCCTGTGAGCAACGACTCCAGGCTTCTGGCCAGGCTTAGTAGCTAATTATGCCGGCAGCCAAAACCAGAGGTCTCAATTTGCTCCTGTGTAAAATGAGCTGGGTTGGCTATGAGGCCCCTATAGCTCCTACCCCCCCCCCAGTTCTGTGGATTCATGAACATCATTAAAGACTTTGAGAGAGCAGGAAGCTGGTGTTCTCTTACATACTTTATTAATCTGCCCTCCCCTCCAGCCTCTCCTTCCCTTCCATGGATAGAATAAAAACAAGTTTTCAATCAAATCCAAGCTCTTTGTCTGCATTTTTATTTTTAGTCCTTTCCCATCAGCAGAACATACCCAAGTTTCTCAAGTTTTCCTACCCGGTCCCACATATCCTGAAAAAAAGAACTCAGTCATGGCAGAAAGCACCAAAGAACACCAGAGCCCCATGCAGTTTGACTCCAGACTTTGGAGACGGCAGGATGCACAGGCAGGATCTCCTGAAGTGTTTCAAGACAGTTGGTCCACACCCCAGGGTCACTTTCCCCAGCTCAAAAGCGGGTGTTCTAGTTTTCTTTCTGCGATCAAACTCTTTGGTCAATAGCAACTTAGGGGAGGAAAGGGTTAATTTGTCAATACCTGCAGGTCATACTCCATCACTGAAGCAAGTCAGGGCAGGAACTCAAACAGGAACTTGAAGTAGAAGCTGAGACAGAATGTTGCATGCTAGCTCACCCTCAGGCTTAGGTTTATCTAGCTTTTCTTACACAGCTCAGGGCCACTGCCCAGGGGATGGTGTCACCCACAGTGGGCTGAGCCTCCCTACATTAATTAATAATCAAGACAGTACCCCAAAAGAAAGACATGGCCATAGCCCAATCTGATCTATGCAATTCTTCTATTGAGACCTTCTGATCAAAAGACTCCACACTGGGTCAACATGATAGTTGAAGCTAACTAGGACAGTGGGTCAAGTGTAACCTCTTTCCAGTCTTAGGGGTGACATTTTCCACTTGGTGACAGGATAGTTCATAGACTGGAAGGAAATGTGAGATAATGGCAGGGCCCGTGGCTGGAGTTGTGGATAGACAGATGCCCCTTGAACCTGTTTCTTGGGATTACTCCTTGCCGGGGAATCACCTCCACCTCACACCATTGTCAATTTTGCACAATCTTTGAGGATGCTGACAGCACCAAACAGGGTAGTTCCCTTCCGTGACGGTTAATATTGTCACTTGGTGTCTAGAATTATCTCGGCTCTACATACATCTCTGAGCTTGTCCTGGGGATGTTTCCAGATCAAGTTAATTGAAGTGGGAATCACTGTACACTGTTGGTGGCATAATTCCATGGGCTGGGGTCCTCGACTGAACAGAAAGGAGAACGTGAGCTGAGCACCAGCGTCCCCCCTCTGTCCCTCCATCCACACTGACTGTGGATGCAATGTGACCATCTGCCTCACACTCCTGCCTCCCATGCCTTTCCTATCAGATGATCTGCACCGTCACAATGTGCCCAGAAATAAACCCTTCCATCACCGAGCTGCTTTTTATCGGCCATTTTGTCACGGCAATAAGAAAAGTACCTAGTACACCTTCCACATTAGTAAATTTGGCCATCACTATGACCAAAAGAC